AAATTCGATGAACTTTTTTTTATTTGAATTCAAAGAATCCGTAGAATTCAAAAAAAAAAATAAAATAAAAGTTCATCAAATTTGGCCTGGTGATTGTCAAAATATTTTTGCTTAAAATCTTAAAAAACTCAATATTTATCAAAACAGAAGCTGCGCTAAATTTTTTTTTATTTTTGAATGAAAATATCTCAACAGCCATCAAGTCAAATTCAATGAATTTTTTTTTTTATTGAATTCTATGAATCTGTAAGATTTAAATAAAAAAAAAAAAGTTCATCGAATTTGGCCTGGCAGTTGTCAAAATTTTTTTGCTTGAATTGGTAAATAACCTTTTTTAGCCAAATTTTCGCTTATATGTACAATGGGTAAAAGTAAAAATAGAAAAACCATGTCTCACCAAAATCAGATCGCCATATAAGTGTGTTAAAAAAAAATAGATCGATTAGTTGATTTGCCGTGTTCAATAATTGAGGTGCCGAATTTAGTAAACAATTTAATTATTTGTACAGTATGTAGTAATTATTGTACTATGTTAAGATGCCAAATAAAAAATATTAGTTGACTCGTGTTAAATTATTGCAATGCTGAGTTATTTATATTGCATATAGCATCGTGTCAGATTATTACAGTATATACTGAACTAATAAAAATAAGCCATAATTTATTTCAGTACAAAATTCTGTTTCGAATTTGTTTGTTTCCAAGAGAATATAAATTTTTTTATTTTTATAAAATTGCTTACTGTATTATCGCTATATCGTCACGAAATGTTTTATCGAAGGTCTCTAAGAGAAATATTCGTAAAAAGGATCTACATGCTACAAAAAAAGTAAAAATTAAAAGGCCCAATAGCTTAACTATCAATGAGAAGGTTGATTCTAATATTATAGTTAACCAAGCCGATAAAAGAGAGAATATTTTTTACAATCCTCTAAAAGTAAGTTAATTGTCTTTTATTATATTTGGTTTTATAGTATAGTCTTCTTAGAGATACTTTTTGCCTTTCAAGGCAGGCCTGGGATCTGAGTATTCTCTCCCCATTATTGTACTCTACTATTATTGAGAGCACGATCGTCAAATCATAATTGTCTTGTTGTGAGGAGAGGAAGACCGAACGAGCTTCCCATTTAATGCTGAGCTACAAGATGAGAAGTGATTCAAATGTATCCATTTCAAAATATTTTTAACTTAATAAAATATATCATCTCATGAGACATTTTCTGAATATATATTCTTTAGCATAAAACCCAATCAGAAACCCACCAGTCGACCAAAGATGAGGCTCGTGAATATATTCGTACCCAATGGATATCTGAAGAATTTTTTTTTAGCGATCTTAAATCAGTTAAAACTATAGCATTTTTATAACAAATGATTAGCAAGAGGCTCAAGAGGCTTTTGTTAAAATTTTTATATCACAATCAAGGCTTTTTTAATTTTCACAGATTTTTATAAAAAGGTTTTTAAAGAATTGACTATTTTCATGATATTATTTATGACTCATTTACAACTTTATATTTTTTTATTATTGATCTGAGCCTGATATCTGATACTTAGTTTCTTTTCAAATATGCTGCCCGTATTATATACTTAGCTTTTTCCTTTCAGCATATTGCATGTGTGTTATATATGGTTTTTTCTTTATCTTGGGTTAGTCATTTATCGTCACTTAATGAGTCATATTTTATGTAATTCATAGCCTCATTCGTTGTGGCGTATTAAGATATATTCACAGGATTTAAGGTAATCACATTGGTTAATATGATCTTGGGTAACCATAAATTTTAATAATCAACAGATTTGCTTAGAATTGTACAAAATGTTTCGCTTCTTATAAAGTAGAGAAAAAAGAAAACTTTAGATTATCAATTCATCAGACCAGTAAAAAATCAGACTGGAAAAAAATTGTAAATTAAAAAATAACAAAATTGATTATAATATATCCACAAGAAACATTTAATTTTTCTGATATAATAGCAAAAAAATTGCTTATTCGTTTAAAAATACATCTGTAAAATTTTCGAGTGTTCTGTGAAGTCTGGTCAGGTCTGGTCTGCTCTGCTCTGCTCTGCTCTGCTCTAAACAAGACCATAGCCTATACAACGCTTTCAACTTTGTGAAGCAATAAATGTCCTTTTTTAGCTAATTTTTTGCTAAAAATGGATCTAATACAATGAGTAAAAGTAAAAATAGAAAAACAACGTCTTACTAAAATCAGATCACCATATAAGTGCGTTAAATTGCAATTTTTGAATCTGTGCCTGGTTTGTTGAATATCTACTTCAACATGATCTTCAACGTGATCTAACCAACCAATCAGATTCGCATATTAAATTGCCATGATTAAAAAATCTGTATATGCCAAAATCTTTAACTTAAATACATAAAGTGCTGTGAAATAAAGACAAGAACGTAAAGCATTTTTTTCTAATATTACAAATTAGAAGACTATACTTCGAATTATAGACTGTATATAAACAGCTTTAATACAGAGGTACATATATATACATGTATACAAAAAATTCATTTTTATTCATATTCATAAAATCCTTTTGTAAGTTATAGATCAGTATTTAAGCTAAGAATATATGGGCACTATTCAATAGAAGAGGGACAAATCTACTTTTTAGTTCCAGTCAAATTTACCAGATTTAAAAAAGAGATTTATGCCTTTTTTATTGAACAGCGCCTATATGCAAAATATTGTTTGTTACTTTAATATGAATGTTATTATTATTTTTTTCTACATATATAGTGTGTTACATTTATGCCACACCATTTGGCCGGTTTTCTAATATGGCTTGCTGCAAGTCATATGGTTGTTTTTTTGGTCTTTTTAATTGTGCTGACATAACAGACTCATCCAATTCTTGTTCTTCAATATTACCAACCAATTTTCTTCTTGATTCTCTTGGTCTTCCTTGATGCATTCTCTTGAGACTACGATTTAAGCTTTTGCGTCATGAAGATGTAGCAACTTAAACACATATTCTTTTTCCTCCTATATGATAATTATTTCCATGAACCTGACCTGCATCCCAATTGCAAGATTGAAGGAAAGATGCAACAGCTGGACAAACATAAGAATCTTTTTTAGATCAATGTTGTTTATAGATCTTGACAAATTTGTGCATACTGTTGTTTAATATAGGATCATTTTCTTTTAAGAGATTCTCTATATCATGACAAAACCACTGGAATTCACTTATAACACTCTCACTATCATTATTATTGTCGTTATTTTCAGTTGCTGAACCTATAAGATATTAAAAAATTAGTATACTGTGTGGTTCTATTACTAATAAAATTTCAATTACTTTATTATAGTAGTAACTATCACT